GACGGAACTGACAGACCAATTAATCGATCGAACAGTCGAGGTAGACGATCAAGCGAAGCAGTGGAAGCGGGCGAAGCACTCCATGAGACTGAACAGTCGAGGTCGAGCAAGCCAAACGAGCAGGCTAACAGTCCAGACGAAGTCGCTGAAGCAGTTGAGTGGCGCAGACAAAGCAGACGAGGGTTTTAGACAAAGCAGACGAGCTGTCCCGGCGAGACTCTAGGAGATTTGCAGTCGAAGAAGGACAAACGATTCCTAACTTCGAAGACGCCAAAGATTCAGGCCATAAATATTGGACGTGGCTTTGAGGGGCGTGCAAAGTTGTGTGTCATGTCAGCTTCCGTCATGAAGGGCTTTGTCAGATGGGTGTCCTATCTGCTTCATGGTCCCCCAACAACTATCGGTGATTAAGACAAAAATTTGGCTATGATATCAAGTCAAAGTTTTGAGAAAAATAGGCTAAATGTTTTTTTCTTTTGCTTTTATTGCTATAAATAATAGTTTGTACAAATTCCTAATTTAAATATTCGGCTAAAAGAGAAATAAATCAGAATAAAGATATTGAAAATAATTTAAATATGGAAGCTCCTAATTATAGAAAACTCCTAATTTAGCTCCCTGATTTCCGTCCTTCCTATTTGACATACTCATCTTATACCACATCAAATTATGCTCAATTAAGGAATTCTAATTTACCTTTCTAAACTATCTAAAAAGATTTATAATTTCTCATCTTTACAATTCCACTATCTTGTCCCAAGGTAACTATCCTTTCAAATGTTTTCTTTAACTTATCACATGCAAAAAATGCTGTTTGATGCCATAGGGTTAGGATAGATGGTTGTCTTAAACCTCATATTGTACTTTGCATAGTATAAAGTTAAAAAATAAGTTAGTCTGCCAACCAAAAATTTTTATCTTAGGAAAGACCCTTCGACGCTCAATTTAGTGGCAGCATTAGTAGTTCATTAAAAGAGCCTTTAATCATTATCAAATCACCAATTTTGGCCCAAATAATAGAAAATTTGAAAAATGAAATATTAAAAAAATATCCAATTCTTGCATTTAGTTCATGTTTGAGCAAACCAGAATCAACTCAAAGTCTGTAATTATATCAAAATCTTGAGAAAAAAAATCAAGCCAGGCCAAAGAGTTTAGCATATTTTAGAATAACCAATATGAACCAAACCAAACCATTTGAAGTGATATGTTACATTCTTAAATAAATAAGAAAATCAATTTGAAACATTGGTTTCACTTTAGTTTTGAAATCTAATGATTTAGTTAAGTTCCAAATAGTATATGATTTGGGAACAAAAGGGATCATGCCCAACTCTAAGATGAGCCAACACACCTCTAAGATCAATATCAGACCAGAAAAGCACTTAATTGAAGTACATTAAGCAACGTTATAAGGTCAGCCAAAGGGCAGAAGAAGAAGAAGAAGAAGAAAGAAAAAACTGATTTGGTGTCATCTTCTAGAAGTATATGGAAGGAGACGTTCTAGCATAATTTAGATTTTAGTGTTTATTATCTCCTTGCGTGATTCTCAGATTTCTAAGAGATGTTAAGATATTTTCCTATTTATTTGAATCAGAAGATTTGGGTTTCTCTTTGTGTTGAGAATAAGTACTTAATGTACTTAGAACATCTGTTGGCAAGGTAGAATTCTTTGCTCGATTTCTTCTTGTGTCCATTTTTTTTTTGCGAATCCTACATGTATTTGGTGCTTAAAACGGATGCATCAGGGCACTACTCCCTTATGTTTTAACACTCCATTATCTGTGACGATTAGACGAGAGAAGAAAACTAAATTAATTATCTCTTATTAATGAAAATTTGACTTCATGTATCAATTTGTAAGAATACTAACACTGTAATTATTAATTAAGAGTTAATTTCAAATATTAAAAAAGGGGCGTTAACATTCCTAGCACACAATTCTTATTTATTTACAGATCTCACACCTGAACTTTCACGTTACACACGCATCACTCAAATCTTTAATATCGCATCAAAAATATTATTATTATCATTCTTTAAAGGTTAAATATACAATTTCATGCATCGGTTTAAAACACCAAAGTGATATATATGAAAATATAAAAATTTATGTGAGAGATGTAAATACATAGAATTGTGTGCTACGTATGTAAATTTCCCTTACAAAAAAAAAAATTTATTTACCTGCTCATGGCACCTATCTTGTAGGTGTCATTCACTCGACCCCGCATAGCCCGCGGGTAATAAACTAAGGGCATTATGCCTTCATTCCTCCATATCGCAGAATAAAACGCAGTTGTTATTGTCCCCTATAAAGGTGTTGGAACCCGATAAATATTCTCCCCAATAAACCTTCACATTTTGCACAGGTAAAACACAATTGGTATTGTCATTGTCACTATTGCTAAATTTAGACTTCTTCCAACTGAATTGCTCATAATGAACAGATTGAGTGGCCTAATTAGATCTGAATTTTTTATCCCCTTTTCTTTTTTGAAAATTTTACATTTTTATTTAGCCAACAAATCAATTTTTATCCCACTCCCTCTATCCATCAAGTCTAAGTAATCATCAATTCCCGAATGATTAAATCTTGCAGATAAACATTATTTTATCCAAAGAGTAAGATAACATTTTTCTTTTGTATTGAGATTCTGAAAAATCATGGTGAACTCATCTTTATACTGCATAATGGAGGTCGCCACCTAATAAATATGTCCTACATCCACCTCTTAATTGAGAGAAGAAATAAACAAGTTACAAAATATCTTCACAAAATTCCCACTAAATCAAGTTGTTGTTTTGTCTACCAAACATTTTCTACAGTTGTGTTGTATTTCTCATTCGAAAGTGAAGATAATCAATGTAACTATCTTCTCTTGTGAACAATATATGTTATCAATAATCTTTATGATCTACAATAACAAATTTTTAGCTCAATTAACCCTTATGCTGTTAAAAAGAGAGATGGTCTTATAGCCTAAAATAGCTTCAAATATTGATCCATAGACATTGCTCCACTAGCACTAGTTTGGGGCCGAGAGCACTGAATTGGTTGTCACTATAGTCATCGTCTGTGTAGATGCATTCACAGGAACACTAGCACCATTATATGAAGTATCAACAAGCAATAATGGTGATCGATGTTATTACTCAACAGTTCTCACCTCTGTAGTGTTTCCATCTATATTCACTTAATTCATTTCAGTTGCTTTGAGATGCCAAATTTTATAATTATTACAATAAATATTCAAATTTATTATTTAATTTCTTTATGATATAACAATTTTTCTGGTGGCTCTTTTTTATGATTATCTTCTTACTAACTCTATACTTGGACTCTGATATTACTCTTGTCACGACCTAACCCAAGAGCTTGAAATATCAAGGGTGGAACGGACGATCGGACGAAGCAAGTACTATCTAAAAATTTTTATTTCTAAAAGTTTTTTTACATAAATAAAAGTCGTTCAAAACAAAAGTGTCATTTTTATACATGACTTTAACTTACAAAATTCGTTCAGATTTTAAATTTTTATAATTGGTGTCAAAGTAAAAAATTAAAATACCTTACCTATCACACTGGGGCTCCTCAATATTTGTGAGCATAATCTCTAGGGTTCATATACCATATAGAGGAGATTTTCTTGAAAAATATTAACTGGAGAAATGAGTTGATTGACTCAGTGGATAAAATGTCTCAAAATTATAATAATCCAAATTTTTATAATATTTTATAAAATAAAATAGTAAATTTATAGTTTTATAAAAAATTACAGACTAAACCATAAAATGAAAAAATAAATAAAATAATTTCATTATTAATTTTATTCATTCATTTAAAATATCTGTCATGAGAGTCATCGTCTATGTATGCACTAAAAGTATGCATTTCATAATTTTTTTTCAAAATCCATCAAAAAGATAGGAAACCATTTTTATTTATATTTATTTCTATGTGCACAAGTAAGTTGCTTCCCCAACCAATATCATATGGGAATAACTTCACATTTAAATATGTAAATGCAATTTCTTACCTTTATTTAATATTTTTGTCAACATATAAAAAAATATAACATTCACACTTTAAAAAATATTAAAAAAGATTTAAAAGATAACAAAATTGTCTAAAAAAAAACATGTTAACCCACCTGCTCTCTGTGATCAGATGTCGTTTCTTCAATCAATCTATTTTGGGTGTACTTATAGTAACAAATTAGCTTTAATTAGCTTATATTCATTTTTTTCCTTCTTTATTTTCTATTGTATGTTTAAATTAGCAATCATTTTATTATAATTATCATCACTTGGATGTTTTTTATAATAATTGCACATATTGTTTTTTATAATAATTGCACATACATATATATATATATATGATCATTAAAATTTAATTTTTATCTACTTCAAAATTTCTACTTAAGCTATATAGTAATATCTCTTGCTTAAATAGAAATTATTTCATTAATTATGTTAACAAATTAAAATATGTAATTTTCCTAAAATTCTCTTAGACATCTTTGAAATAGAAGTACCCAAAAATGCATTTTTAAGCTTAGAGTAATGAAATTTTAACTTAATTTTCACCTAAAGTAAATAACAATTATAAAAAAATTATAGGTACTTAATATTGTACGTGGATATATAAACTGAAATTACTTTTCTAGTTTTCATTTCACCCTTACGAACTCTAAAATAATTTCAGACATAATGTCAAGATTTAAACATTAGGGTTTGTTTAATGTTTGCTGCAGTCTCGTGTATACGTTCATGGGGAATAGAGGAACAAGGACATCAGTTTATTATCCGCGTGCGAGGTCGAGTGAACTACACGCAGGTGTCTTGAACTGGTAAATATTTTGTAACCATTGAAATTAATTCTTAATTAATAATAAAATGCCAAAATTCATAATCATCACCAATACTCATTTTTCATCAGCAGTATAATTCAAGCAAACTGAAAAGAAAAAGAGATAAGGAAAGAGAAGAGGAAAAACCTTACGGCTCTCAGCTTGGATTAGCTTTTCAGCAACAAACTCCGGCGTCCCAAATTCCTTGAGAGATGAGAGCCGAACAGGGTTGACCACCACACCAATGCTGTTGCTCCCTTTCCCCTCCTCGAACAGGGCCGCCGCACCCGCCTTCTCCATCTACAGCTCTTCACAGATCAGAATAAATTTGAAAATAGAAAAGGAAGAGTGGAAAACGAAGAACCTTCGCCCATGTGGAAGGCTTGAGGAGAGTGAAACCCTCGATCTCGTCGGTATATCGCTCTAAACTGAGAAGCGGAACGGCGGACAACGATGGTGAGAAAGAGATGGATGCAGGAAAGAGCGAAAAGAGCGTGAAACTCCTCCTGCTGGTTCTTATGGTGGTTGTTTTATCGTCGTTGGCCGACGGTGAGTAGCCGTTGAGAAAAATGTTCGGCGATTTTGGCCGAGGAGGCTGTGAGAAGAAGAAAGGAAGAAGAAGAGAGAGGGAAGGGAGTTCGACACTGGAAGTAGCTGCGGCCGTCGAGGGCAACAAATCCATGGCTGCAAGATTGCGTGTTGTCTCGCCGCTTATGATGTGGATGAACGAAAGAGGAATCGAATCTCGGTCATCGGCCCTGTTTGAAATGTAGTTTGTTCAAAATTATCAGTGTGTTAATTTTTAACGAACGAGTGAATATGAGCTGTTCGTGAACTTCGAACCACTAATATTAATATATATAAATAATATATTATATTAATCATATAACTTATATTATATAAATATGATAGTATAATACTAATATAATATATTAATATATTATTATTATTATTAATTTATTATATATTATAATTTATAAATTTTAATTTTTTAAAATATCATAAATTTTATATATATAATTATTTTAAATTATTTTATATTTCGAACAATAATGATTCGAACACAAACGAACACATCATTATTCGTGTTTGGCTCGTTTAACTAACCAAACGAAAAAAATTTGTTCACGTTCGTCTCGTTTACTTATCGAACGAATCGAACACGAACTCATTGACGAACCGAACACAAACTGTTCGCGAACAACGAGTTTTTTTGGCAGCCCTGGGGGTAACATCATCAAGCAGCCGGTGAGATTGTAGGCTTTTTTTTTTTTCTGTTTTCTTTTTTCGTTTCTTTTTTTCTATGGATAACTTTACTAAAGGTTGGAATTGAAGGCGGCCATCTCATGTCACACAATTTTTTTTTTTTTTTGGAATTTACATAAATAGCAGACAAAATATTATAAATTAAATATTTAACCCCAAACGAAAAAAAATTTTGTCCAGGCCCCCGGACGTAACTCCCTAATAATATATTATTATGTGTGTTATATCAAGCCCACCTAAAAATATTATAGTGAAACTGTAACTAATAATCATGAAATAACTTTGAAATAACCTCCGCAGTTTCATTTTATTAACCCGAGATAACCTCCTAAAAATAACACCGTAGAGATTATTTCGGGGTTATTTCAGGATTATTGAAGACAAACTCACATATTTCATTTCAATAACTCAGAAATAATCTAGAAATAACCATGAAATAATCTCTGTGATGTTAATTCGGAGTTATTGAAGTGAAACCGCAGAAATTATTTCAGAATTATTTATGGATTATTGAAGTAGAATATACAGATTTCTCTTCAATAATCTCGAAATAACCTCTGCGGTTCAATAATCTCAAAATAACCTCCATAATATAGCATATATATGATGACATATTATTGAAATGCACACAGACATATTATTGAAATGTACTACCACCATCGGTCACTTTGTCGTTCTAGTCCAAGCACAAGAATAGTACTCGAGTGTACAGGGATGAGGCTGCCGAAGCTCTGGATGGCATGCAAGCTTTGTTGGAAACAGAGAAGGCAAGGATCGAGCACTGCTCCGGCTTCGAGATGCAAGGCCAGTGAGATCTCCTCAATTGAAGCCTCCGAAGGAACAAGTAGGGGATCATTTTTCAAAGTTTTGTCGCTTGTTTTGGTGGATTGAACAGACATAGGTCGCATTCGTCGCCGGCGTTTGGCCGGCTGAACAACCGGAGGCTGCAAAGGATCAACATCTCCACCACCTCCAAGATCTGTTTGTCGCCGCCTTTGATTAGTCTCTCCATTGGAGGCGCTTTCATTAGCATGGAGAGAGAGAGAGAGAGAGAGGATGGTTGAGAGAGTTATCGGGCCACTCGTTGTGACAGTTGATGCAAATTTTTATCAGGTGTCCACTGATCATATGGCAACCCGAGCCCGAACAGTGCATGTTAATGGGTTCAAATTGTCATGTGGCTCCCTGTCATTGGATACATGATATAAATTTGCACCAGATATATGATGCAATAATTTCTCGAAGGCAAGGGTACTTACAAAAGTTGGAAGTTGCTTAAAAATAATTTAATATTCAAAAAATTATAATAATTATTATAATTGTTTTTTTTTTTTAAGAAGTCAGATCTCAACTAAAAAATTGTGATCACCTTAGATTTCAGCGGGATTCGATTTATCCAAACAGATAAAATTGTGATAGAGTACCCTTGAGAGGCACGCTAGTGAAATGTGGGCCGTCATTGACAGAGTTAACGGAAAAGTTTGAAATATATAAATTCTACTGTTTTATATGAGGTATGCAAATCACGCCTTTTTAATAATCAATAAAATAAAGGAAGCGTTGCATATATATCACTCAATTCTAATGTATTTACATATGTGATTTTTTTTTTTTTATATATGAAAGTTTTTAGCTGGTAATAAAGTTTGTGCTAAATACATAACTGCATTGGAATTGGGTGGTATGTATGTAAATGCCCCTAAGATATATATATAGCACTCGAGTTAAATCAACTATAAAATTAATAGAAGTGAATGATATTGTATTATATGTTAATTCGAGCATTAGTCTTATACAAACATATTCGAATGTGGCTCAAAAATATGTTTGAAGTCTATTCGAGTCATGCTCAAACATTATTTGAATATTGTCACACATGTTTGGTTAAAGTGATCAAACTATATCCAGATATATTGGAGCAATTTTCATACTTTATTAAGGCATGGATAATATAAGGATTTTGCACGAGGTTCAATCCATGCCCAAACATAATTTGAAGATATGATACATTAGATAGTAATCTTATACTTGTATTCTGAACCTTTTTTTTCTAAAGGGAAATCACATATTAATAGGGCTGTCAAAAAGGCTTCGTTCTTTGGTCGCATTCGGCTCATTCGTTAAGTAAACAAGTTGAACACGGATAATTTTTTTAAACTCGAATTATAAACTGGCTAAACATGATCAGCTCTTTGTTCGCTCGTGTTTGGTTCGTCTTAGCTCAAATTAAAAAAATCATATAATTATTTATATAAGAATACATTATTTAAATATTATATATATTTAAATGTAAGTTTAAATCATAACAGCTCGTATGGTAATGTGATCATATGCCTTCTGTTGCATACATTTTGGTCCATATTCAAATCCAACACTCTACATCTATTTTTTCCAATTAATTTAAACCAATCAATTTCAAGTCAAACACAAGTTGAATACGAACAAGAATATTTAAATCGAGCCGAACGCAAACACATTGTTCACAAGCCAATTTAAAAATAAACTGATTTCAAACACGAGCAATTTCAAACGAGTCAAACACGAGCTTAGCTCGTCTACAGCCCTACATATCAATATTTCAATATTATTGTTTCATGGAGGAGAACATAGACAATTACAGCTATAAATATTGAAAATTTATTTACGAAATAGTGCATAGTATTGATTCTTTCAAATAGTACTTTGATAAAAAATCTCATATAGGTCATATATGAAGTTATAGAGCTAAACAGAAACCAAATAAACTTAAGCTAGAGGTGATGTATCACTTAGGTTGAGCAAAATTTGTAATATCAACCTCTCCTACGAAGCTAAATGTAGCAATAAGACATTACAGACTTAGGGTGCGTATGGGGCAGTTTGTGCTTATTCAGATAAGCCGCTTAGCTAAAAACGCAGACCGCAGGTCGAACTTCGCGTTATGCATTTAGTGTAAGAAACCAATTGTGTTTTCGGATAAGCTGCTCAAACATATTTTTCCAAACGGTAAGACGGTGTTTTCAAAACACCACCGCAGTGGATAAGCTGCCCAAACGGAACCGTAATAATGCATTGGTATACCAGTAAATTTACTTATCTAAAATGAAAATAAATAAATATTTCATAAAGTAATTATTAAAAAAAATATAATTTAAGAAAACTTATTCTAATGAAACAATCTTTTGCTATTAATATTTTGTCTCGTAGGGGAAATAATTTTTTTTATAAGTATTAAGTACAATTAAACGAAATTTAATTATTTCATAAGGGTTTACATGAAATAAAATTAATTGCATAGGGGTATTATCAAAATGATAAACAGTGGAACATATAGTGACACTTTTACAAAATTAAAAAACATTAAGAGATCAAATATGAAATATACCGAAAAATGTTTCTATGTATTTAATACTTGTAACTGCCACAACAATCATGAAAACTATAAGACCCGTTAGCCATAAACTCATACATAAGGGTGATCATTAGGCCAAGTTTGGATGGATTGTTTTTCAAATTGGACAAATTGATTGAATCCAAAAAACTGAATCAATTAAAATTTTGATAAAATCGAGCCTACCAAACTGAAGTATAATTTCATTTAAACAATATGCTCACGAAGAAACTCAATTTTAGAGGTTTGTTATAATTCGGTTATAAACAACATCAAGAATAACATATCGCACATGTATAATATCAATTTAAATTCATGAATCCTTCATTTAGTTTTGACTTTTTTTTCTTTTTTTTTTAGTTTGTTTGGTTAAATAAAAATTAAAATCAAATAAAAAATTGAAAACCAATACTTGTACGATTATTTAAGGTCAAAATTACTTGCATCGATAAAAATGTGAAAACTATCGATAAAAGTAACATAATAGGTATATCCTTCATTAGAGGGGTGAGAGAAAGGACCCCAAGCGTTAGAATGTAACATTTCAAATAGAGTATATTGAGTGATACTTGAATTAAAAAACATCTTGTGGCTTATGTTGCGTAAACAGTCCTTGGCATGTTGTAGAGTAGTAGGTGATCTTTACATGAGAATTTTGTTTTGATATCAAAGATAGTCTTGTGGTGAGGGTGACCAAGTCTTTGGTACCATGTGTGGGAGAACATCATGGAGTGTTTCAAGGCAATTGTGTGATAAAATCCTTGATTGGCTAGACCAGTCATTAGAAGTTTCTTGGTTGTTGAGTCCCATATGTAAAACTTGTTAGCATCAAATGTAACTTGACAGACATTATCCTCAGCAAGCATATGAACAAAAAACAAGATTATGAGGAAGAGATGGAGCTCTTAAAAGAGGAGAAAGAGTGAGCTTATTGTACGGTGTAGGAAGAATCCCCTTACAAATGTGATCGGTGGCTTACCCATTGCCAACCAAAACCTTTTTTGTACCTTGATATTTTTTTGGTTGTTGCAATTTTTCAATATGTGGTATGATGTGTGTTGTGACACCCGTATCAACAATCCAATCTAGTGGTGTACATTGGAGGTTGGTGTGTAAAGCAGTTGTTAAAAAGGGAATGGTGGGTTTGTATTGCAAGTTGGATTTATGCCAGCATTAGGCTACGGAATGCCCTTTCTTGTAACAAATTTGACATGTGATGGATTGTTTTGACTTGGTGTTGTTGCTGAAACTCTGAGAATTGTTGTTGGTAAAGGTTTTGTGAGAGGTTTTTAGATTGTTTTGTGTACCTTCATTGTAGTATGTGAGCCGAGAAGAATGTTGTGACATCGTGTTGGCTTTATTTGCAAAATTGCATTACTCACTATACAAAAGAGAATAGAAGGCTTCAAGATTGACTGGGTTCAGCTGAGTCCTAATAGCAATCTTGAAACCTTGGTAATTGGGAGGTAATTCATTTAATACGTATAGAATGATATCTTCGTTGTCAATCTAGGATTTGACAATGGCTATGTTGTCAACCATAGTTTTGACAGTGATAAGATATTGTATCATGTTGTTATTTTGTCATGAAGATATGATGAAGCTCATTCTGGAGTTAAATAACCCTGAATCTGTTGGCTGACTAAAATTTTCTTTCTAAGAAGATCAGTATGAAAGTTGTGCTGTTGAGATGAATGATATATGAGATCATAGAATTTTAGATCGTGGACATTATAGCTGTCGTAAGACTTTGATCCACAAGTTGTCAAAGAAGATACTCAGGATTTTCTTCTTGAGTGCAGATTTCTTGGCTGGAGCTGGGAGGTATGATGGTTTCTAGGTCTAAAAAGGATTCAAAGCCATTGGCAATAAACAGTTTTGAATCTGGACCTTCCAAACTAAAGAAATGTTATGAGAAAGAGGTTGGTTTGTCATTGTCTTGATGAGGGACATCTCAAGAACTTGAGGGGTGCGAAGATATGTCCCTTTTATCCTTGTGTGAGAGTTGGAAGATTGTGGATTGATTTGAGAGAGATTTGGAGAGGATGAATCCATAATGTGCTGGTTTGAAGAAACGAACTAGATGAATAAGAGAACAAAGAAAGCACAAAAGAAGAGATTCTTGAAGATCAGAGGAGTTGATGGACTGAAGGCTCTAATAACATGATCAAACTCATAATAAGAAGAAGGGACGGAGAATCATTCACAAAAACAAAAAAGTGATTAATAATTCTTTCTTACTATTACAAGACACAGCCTCCCGTATTTATAATATTAGGCAAGGGTACAATGGTAAAACGCAATGGAGATAACTCGTGTATACAAAAGGACTTCAACCCTAACACACCAAACATAATAAAGCTTATGTTCCAGGAGTGAGCTGCTCGGGTGACTAAAGGTGCCAAAGAGGAGCAGAGCAGATATGATCCCTTTTAGAAAGGCGACATGAGCAAAAATCGAAGTTTAAGTGTTAGATATGTAAATGCATAAAAAATGAGTGGTATGCATGTAAATCTTCCTTAAATTGCTTGAATCTCAAATAGGTTTGGATTTTTATATAGCATACATGATGTAAGTAATTTCTATTTTTGTAGGAAAAATATATTTTTTTTAAACAGAGATGTGTATGACTGAAAAGTGCCTATGCATATCTAAACGAGATCTGATGTTAGTAGAGACTAGACAACCACCTGATTTGGTATGACTGAAAAGTGCCGACTACTATTTGTCTGTCCAATGCAGTCCGTCTGTTAATCGCAATCCGTCAACCGTTCTACAGTTTGTCTACCAACCTACTGTCTGTGTGCCGACCACAGTTCGTCTATCGACCTACAGTCTATTTGCCAACCGCAGTCCACTTGCCGATCTCGATCCGTCTTCAAACGCAGTCCGTCTGCCAACCACAGTCTGTCAGTCGACCTCATCCCATCGGTCGACCGCCTTGTTGGGCAGATCCAAATATGTGAATAGGAGTCACCTTTGTACAAAATGGTGTAAGGCACAAGAAGAGGTGCCAACGAAGGGGCAAATTTGTATTTTTATATTTGTCCTCCTATAATCTATAATTATTACTTTTTTATATATAAGGGGACTCATGAAATTTGGCACTCCACTTCTCCTGTAAACTTTCTTTTGATAATAAAATGGGTCTGAGAGTCCAAGTAACACCCCCAACTTTGCCCCACTGGGAACAATTTTGGCATCATTCTCCGTTCTTCTTTCTCTCTCTCTCTCTCTCTCCCGGTTTCCTACCGTTCTATGCTTTGGGCATGTACCACAGGATAATTTTGAATCCAGCAAGATATTATTTTTTATATTTTTTAATAGCTACCTAACAAATATATTATTAATAATCAATTATTTGCTATACATATACCTGCAAAACCTTTTTAATATTCAAAATAAAATAAAATGTTATATGAATAATTTACCTTGATTTATTGTTATATAAATTTCTATTGAATTAATTTCTAATGGAGCAAGGTATGCTTTCCACATAAATTAGCTTTGTTAAAGGCAATAAAATATATTCCTACAACTCATCACTCATGTTACAATATGTAAATGCTATTAATCATTTGGTTATAAAACATGGGTTGAAAAACTTGCTCATGATGCAATGAAGTGTAAGTTCAATGAAGCCCTTATGAAAATTGGCTAGCTGAATCAATGAGCCGCAACATAACAATTCATTTGAGAACTATCAACTGCTCATTGGTTGATGTTTACGTTTTTAATTTTAAAATGTCTTGATAGAACTAAATATAAATTTAAAAAAAAGAATAATGTAATGAATAAATAACTAATGAGTTATATTTGGAAATATTTGGTTATATTTAAGCAGGTTGTATATGGAAATATTAGAATAAATATACATTGGATATAATTTATCGTGCAAATAATAATAAACATTACCATACTAAAAACATCATAAACAATGAAATATTATTGTAACATGATGATGTGGTATTAATTACCTATTATTATACAATAATTCATGCATTTTTTATTCATGTTGCATCTCCGAGTGCTGCATTGCTAATAATTTAAGAGGATTTTTTTTTTTTTTTTGAGGTTTGAATTATTAAACTCTATCATTATAACTTTTTCTCAATAGATTTTCTCAAAATGTTTGGTGCACCATTGCCATAGAAACCAAAATTTTACCCATAAAAGTTAATTTGATTTTTATATACGGTAAATCTCCTTTTTCTTATATTGGCTTCGAGTAAATTTGACTATATTGTTGTTTCTTTCTTTTTCCTTCTTTTTTTTTTTTTATTTGTTATTATATTTCTACTCCTTTCATTTACTCTTTTTAAAGATTATAAATGAAATAAAATATTATTCATCTTCCATTGCATAATTTTATGATCATAGTAACTACTAGTAAATAATTTTTCTTTTGCGAACACAAAACATATTTGAACTTGTTTTAGAAGTTAAAATCAATCCTTTCATCACATCCTATGGTATCAAATATTCTCTATGCCAATTGGGATGTGACAAAAACCTTATTGACTACTAAAAATTTGACCAGCTAATTTAAACAAATAAATTTGAAAACTAAATTTGTTGTATTTAAAATATTTTCCTCAAGTTTTACTGCTCATAAAAGAAATTTAGGTCCTTATTTTTCTATGTTTATTTGCTTGTAAAATAAAACTAATATTTAAAATACAGTGTGATGGGCAACTATATGAGGGCCGATAATGTAGCGGCTCACAGCAACAATGGTTGGCAATGGAGACATCGACTGTTGCCAATAATGACAACACATGGTGGCAACAATGGAAGTTGGCGATCAACAACGATGGCTAGTAGTGAGCATCAATTACAACCGCTGATAGCAATGGCCGACAATGCCGACGACAAGTGTGGCTGCCAACCGTGTTGGCCAGTGAGACTATTGTGCTTCTCGCAAGAGATTATAGCCAACAGTTGTGATTGATAATGAACAATGGAGGCCAGCAATGAATGGAAGAGATGGAGGTGCTTTAAATATTTAATATATTTAAAACTCACACAAAATAAGCTAATAAAAAATTCCAAAAAGTTAGACATTTATTTATCTTTCAGCCAAAATTTTGAAAATTTAAATTGCCTACATTTGATTAACTATGCATTGTAAATGCTTCCAATGAAATGGGGCCAAATCATTCAAGCAAAACAAAATCATAGATGAGATGGGCCACAATTTTCTCCTAATATATGAAAAGCTGCTCCTTTCAATTCTCCTATATATTTTAAAAGAATTTGATTAATACTAAGCATTTTTAAAGACACTGATTAAAAAAATTAACCATGATTACCTACAATGAATTGAATGGATGGATTGAATAATGGTAATTGAAAAGTTTACAAATCTATCGTCCAAGTGGATGGGAAAATTTTGCTTTTGGCGTAGTTTGACCTCAAATCAAACTAACCAATCTAATTCTCAATATTCTAGTAAAATGAATAAAACTATTCAGTGCAGTTTGAGCTCAAATCAAACTATTCAACCAAATTCTCAATGTAAGTGAAAAGCAAAATCCTAATTTCAAGCCCCTAAATAAATTCAACTTAATAAAGGATGAAGAGATCCACAGGTTAAGTTTCAACATGCAGCAGAAGTGCATGCAGCTTCCTTTACAAAAAGCAAGAAACACTAATGATACTACAAGCATCTTCTATAACGGTTGGCTAAAGGAAGCCTAGATCATATTCTACTGTATACAAGCAAACCATCGAGTCAAAATTCACATACCCTGGATTCGAAAACGACCACAATTTTGATGCTAAGCATGCTCCATCAAGGCCTTGCTAATGTCGGCAATATGGTCTCGCAGTATCTCCCACTTGGCATAAGCAAAGAAAAAATGTTATGCAAAGTTGAAATAGTAATAAAATTTTGAATAAAAATCAAATTAAAATGAGAGAAAATGTAATAGAAACCACAAAGAAAAGACAATTGTTATATGATTAGGTGATAGTCGCTTATATCCATAACATAGGGATCAAATATTCTTACGAGCTATAAAAGGACTGCTTTGTGGATTTATTTTCATATATAGATATGATTTAGAGTTAACAATTTGCGAAAGTGCATCCACGTGTTATCTTTAATGAAGATAACATGCATTGGTTGTAGCTAAGCAATGAGAGAACAATTTCCTGCTGTAGGATAGAAAAAATGGAACGATAAAGGAGGAAAACAATAAAGAAAGCTGCTGCAAACTTCTTCCCTCGGACAGTTAGGACATACATCAATCTTATTATCGAATGGGGTCCCCCTCTTCCTTTTCTCTCACTTGTCTTGCTTCTATGAGATATAAAACATTTCTTTTCGAGATTCTTCTCGTACTATTAACTAGATACAAGTTTGATAACATTAGATTAATTATAAGACCCTATAAAACTTAAATCTCATTTTTTTTTATTCTATTTTAGGCAAGATTTGAGCTTAAATCTCACCAAATAGTTTTTATTCTATTTTGTGTTAGGGCATCCCCTATAAGTGAGGCGTTGTATGGTCTGAATATATTAAAAAGTGTGCAATGCTGCTACACTGGTGTCCAAGTAGTGTCAAATAAGCAAGGGTACTCTCATCACGGATGGATGCAGGCAGAGAAATTAGTGTAATAATAATCATATTTAAAAAATAAATAAATTAAATTAATTAAAATAACAAGAAAAAAAACTTAGTTGGTAATGACACCTGTTGTGCAAGTAAGGTTGTAAACAAGCGGGCTTAGGCTTGGCTCTGTTCGGCTCGCTCGAAATTGCTTGTGTTTGAAATTAGCTCATGAACAATGTGTTCGTGTTTGGCTCAATTTAAATATTATAGTTCGTATTCGGCTCAAAATTGACTCGTTAAAATTAATTGAAAAAATAGATATAAGATGTTGGATTCGAACCTACACCAACTTTGTTTAATAGAAGGCATGGAATCACATGACCACAGAGTTATTATGATTTAAAATTAGATATAAATATATAATATATTATAATATAAATAATATATATAATTTCTTTATTTCGAGCTAAAACAAGTCAAACAAAAGGTTGTTAATGTTCGACTCATTTATAATTCAAGCTTAAAAAATTTATTCGTGTTCGGCTCATTTACTTAACGAACTAGTCGAGCTGACCTACTTAACGAGTCGAACGAGCCTTTTTAACAACCCTATGTGCAAGTATCGTTCAAGGGAGACCCCCATCGCTCATGGGAGCATTAAGATAGATTTTTCCTCAACTCCCCTTATTCGAACCCAGCAAGAGAGGCAGGGGATGCGAGAGCAAGAGCAAGAGTCGTGTGAGAAAGAGGGAGCCGTGAGAAACAGAAGAAGAAGAACGAAGAAGAAATCGAGGAAAAGTAAGAGAAAGAAGAAGAAGCAGTAGAGGAAGAAGAGGAAGGAGGAAAAGGAGACGTCCGGCTTGGAAATAGTAAATTCCTCCCATTCTCTCGAGTGCGGGAGTGTGACAAGAGCTCAAGAGGCTCTGTCGAGTGCCCCGAGCATCAAAGAAAAGTATGAAGAAGAACAGGACATTTGATTGACTATCTGGAGTGCTCGAGTGGCTCGTGAGACACTATGTGCAGCTCCTGTGGCCTACCTGAGTGAAAAGAAGAGGAAGGAGATCTCGTGCAGCTTGTAGGAATCTCGATCGAGAGCTGAGAGAGGATGAAAGGGTCGGCGGGAGCCTATCGTGCAGCTTGCAGAGGAGGATGGAGAAGGAAGGCTAGTGGGATCCTTCTGCGTGCGAGGGAGGGCTCGACCGAACCCTTATCTGCTCGGTTTGAAGGGCTTAGGGCAAACAGAGGAAATGTAATGTAATGGTTTAATTGTTTTTTTTTTATTTTGTAATTATTAAATATGATAGTCCAAATTTAATTTAGATAATCAAAATTGTAACAAAATGGGGCTTAATTTTTTAAAAGATAATCATCGAGGAGGCTAAAGCAAGGTAAAACCTTGTCAAAGATAGGAAATTCAAGTCTGATGATTAATTTTAATAATTAAATGTCATTTTCCTAATCAATTATTGTTAAGCAAAATTAAAACTTTAAGAACGCTAAAAACCTAAGTTTAAGGCCTGACAATGTTGTTCTTAAATGAAACATGCCAAAAAAAATTTAGAATGTCGTTTAAAATAGAATTATGAAAGTTAATTTATGAAATGTTAATATCTTAACGAATGATATAACAGGTATAGTTTAAATTGTTCCTATAGGTGCACCCAAAAGTTTAGACTGATTGAGCAAAAGACAATTTGACTACATCATTGAGGTGGGTATATGCCTTTATTTTGCAATAGTTATGTTTATTTACTGTTTTCTCAACTTTTATTTTAAATGCAAAAGTACATGTTTTCTTTTAAATTTTAAATATAAGTTTTCTTTTAAAGGTTAAATACAAAATAAAAAATGAATAAAATATGATATATGCATGCATATGAGAGTCACTCTTGGATAGTACTAACAGGGGAATGCAGTGTACTTGTACACGAATTGAAAACAAAAATAAAAATAATTATATGCCTTTATTGTAGGTTCGAAATGTTTAAATGTATACTTTTTTAAAGTATACGTCCAATTACGAAAAAGTGTAACTTAAATGAAAGGAAATAAAACAATTCTCTTTACTACTCTAGTTTACTGCACAACTTTTATTGTTGTCGCACTTTTACAAAAATATTTTAAAATAAGAACTATTGTAACTTAGAAACATTTACTCATTGAGTTGTTTTAACTCAAACCATAGTTGCTAATATTTTTTTCAGAAAAATCAGTTATAGATTAGATGAATCCCAATGAGTACGTGTGCAGGCGTCGTGGAGCGCAAGCTCATAGGTATTGAAGTTTAATTTATTTTCTCTTTAAAAGTAAATAGTTAATTATAAATAATCTATTGCAAATATAATTTTTTAAAAATAAATTGGCTCATTTGTTCATTGGATTTTATTTTTTGTTAAGAAATTAAACTGTTGGATAGGTTTCCTCCGTCTGATCGTCGGCTCCTACCTTAGTAATTCCAAGCTCTCGGGCTGTGTCGTGATAGTTAATCCATGAAACTAATATTAAGTCAGAATCTTGGAATATAAATACTCTCACAGGTAAATTAAAGGAATTAGTGAATATTATGGTTCATAGAAAGATAATCATCTTATGTATTCAAGAAATTAAATGAGTTGGATAAAAGGCTAAGGAGATCGATATCATAGATTTTAAATTTTGGCACTCATTTAAATGTCGCACTAGAAATGGTGTTGGTGTTGTGATAGATAAGAGTTTGAAAGATAATATTGTAAAAACTAATAACATTAGAGGTAGAATTACAGCTATAAAATTTATTGTTGATACTGAGATTTTTAATGTTAGAAGTGTTTATGCTCCTCAAATAGGTTAAGATATACGTTCAAAAGAAAAATTCTAAAATAACCTAAAACAATTAATGCAAATGTTATCTCTTGAAAAGACCTAACAAGTAGTGAGACCTACAACTCTCTATGGCAAAAGGTTAGCCTTTAAAAGAGAAGCATAAAACAAAGTTAAGTATTCATAAGATGAGATGCTTAGGTTGATGAGTGGCTTGACATTTAGAGAAAATATGTGAAATGAATATATTCGTGATATGGATGGTGCAGCTCCAGTAGCGGACAAGATTAGAGAAAGTCTCTTATATGGTTTGTTCACATTAAACATCGATCATCTAATGATCCGGTGAGGAGAGTAAATGTTTTAGATTCGACTTATGTTAAGAAAAGCAGAGGTGAACCTAAAAAGACTTAGGAATAATTAAAAATGGTCTTAATTTATTAAAATTATATGAAAATATGCACTCAATAGAACACAATGGAGATAAAAGATTCATGTAGTCGGTCCCACTTAGTGGGAAAAAGGCTTGTTGTTGTTGTTGTTGTTCTTGTAATGGATTTAAGGATCTCCTAGTATTAAAAATCAAAGCATGAAATGAATTGTCAAGTAGTATATCATAAATTTGTAAGATTTTATAATTATCACAACAAACATTTTCAAATATAAACCCTCTCGATATTTACTAAATTTATATTTACAAGATTTCTTCAATCATGCTCGAGTTAAAACACTACTTGTAGCTTGTCAACAAAAAAAAAAAAGTTTACCATAAAACAAATCCAATATTTACAATAAATAAGATAATTCAATCATAGCATGTAGAAATTTAAAGGGAGAAGATTTTAACTCTATAATTGTAATACTCTCCCACTCAAAAATAGAGATTGTTGATACACAAACTTAACAGTCAGCATCAAAATACTTTTTTATATGTCATCTCCAGATCAACATTCATGGAAATTTATTAAAGCTTCGCAAAATCTTGACTAATTTCTCGGTACCAACTTTGCGAGCATATCGTTGAAGTTTTATATCTACTTATCTTAGAATGTGGTGGGGCGCCTCCTACGCTCAAATTGTGGTCATACCGTATATGTAGCATGTAATTTGCCTAAGGGTGGAGGGCAATGTTGTTTGCCAAATAAAAGGCATTTTGGTTGCCATAAAAGAATACATAATCCTCTTGTGACCTATTTAGTCCTTCAAAAAGCTTTGAACCAGACAATCTCCTTACTAGCTAAAGTGACTGTATATATTCATCTTTCAAGATTGATATTGTGATTATCTTCCATAATCATGACACCCAATTAATTATGATGCCAACCAAAATATAAATTTACCCAATTGTACTCTGTATTTGGGTCTACACCTAAATCAATATAGCCCAAAAATTTTAAGTGGTCCTCCTAAACTTAAAAAATAATTGATTATACCTCTAACATAGCACAAAATCTACTTCACATCTGCCTGCTATTCTTTTCT